CAATCATTCCTGATGGGGATACCATTCCAGAATCCCTCAAAAACCAAACTTCAACGGCAAGCAATCCGTGGGGGGGGGGGGGGGGGGGGGGGTAGCAGTGCGTCGTTCTGTGCAGCACTCCGCCACTTTGGCCCCCAGTTCTGGAAAAAATCGTGAACCAGCCTCCGACAGCAGCAGTGCTTGTTGGCCCCCTCAAACACAAACACGGCGCCGCTCGTGAGATCGACCCCTGAACGGTCTCCCTCCGCCCTCGGTGTACTGCGGAAGCAGCGCGGCATTTCGGCAGGAGCGGCGAACACCACCCTCTGAGTTTTTGTTTTTTGTATTTGTTCTATTCAGTTTTTGTAAGCAATAGTCTTAATATCATCGTATCACACAAGATTTGACCTCCCGTTAAAAAAAAACGGGATTCAGAGGTTGAAACCTTCGACACCTACTACAACCCAAGGTCCTCCTGACGCAGCCAGAAAAAAAAAAAGAGGTAAAGGGGGTCGCAAAACTCCCTTTGCTTCCCCCACACGCACACACACATCGATATTCGATCGTGCTTCACTCTACTACTATGTCGAGAACGATGGAGGGCCGGGATTGATCGTCAACGCCGTCGACCCCATCCTTTAATAAATCGTTGCCACACCCTGCACCTACCGTGGAAGGGCAGAGAAAATCTCTGCCGGTTAGTCGGCCACCCGCTCCCACCCCCTCCTCGCTCTCGTCGTTTAGCCCATCTATCCTTTCCCTTCCCGCCGTCTCATCCAATCGTGTTCTTGCACACCCCCACCCCCGTAGCCTGGACGTGAAAACATCAAAATCAACAAATCGGCTGTGTTGCGCACCCCCATCTCTCGGGACTGCATGCAATGGTGCCCCTACTCTCACTCTCTCTTCCTTCGGAATTAATCATTCACCCACACGCATCGTAGCCCGGGTCACCATTACAGCGTTTTTCCATCGCCTCCACCGACCACTCGCCGACGACTTCAAACAACCAACCCACTTCTCACACCAGCTAAGCCGACAAACACATACCGTCCCATCCTCCGTTACCGAAGCCTAAACAACCGAACATATAGTCCTCAGCGCCCGATCGATATTCGAACACCCCAGCCTACGGAGCATCAGCGCACACCACACCCACCCGCGACAATGCTTCCCTCCCCCTCTAAATCCAAACAACACGCAGATACGACATTGCAAGTGGTACAGACAGGAGAGAACAAGGGGGGGGGGGGGGGGGGGGGGGGGAAAATAGGGGGGGGTCCGGGGAACAAAAAGGGCCAAAAAAATGGAACCGAACGGGGCCCTTTGTGGGAAACCCCTCCCCCCCAAACCCCCCCAAAAAAAGGGCCAAAACCGCCCCAACCCCCCCGGGTGGAAAGGAAAAAAAAAAACCCAACAACAGGTTATGGGGGTTTTTTTACCCATTTCCCAAAAAAAAAAAAGCCCCCCAAATTTTTTT